GCTCCCAAAACATCACAAAACTTTCCTTCCAAACCGATAAAATACGGCTCCCAATCCTTCAAAATCCCCCCGCTTCAGTGGAATCAACATGCCGCCTCCTGCTGTTCTTCTCCGCCTCGCTGCAGCCCTGGATGATGTCGCGCAAGTTCGAGCTGTACCCGTGGCTTTTCATGAAAGAGGGCACCTACAACACGGCCTACTGCCAAACGGCCATCATCGTAAGTGGAACCCCCGCAAAAAACCTGGTGTTCAGAATCAGCTCTGCTTCCCCCTGGTCTTCTACCTGGCCGTGTTCGGGCTGATGCGGCAGTGGCGTGAAGCCCTGACGGGGAGGACGATGGCACAAGGGGCGCTCGATGTCTTTAAAATTGAGGTTCGGCCATATTGGCGTATCAAAAATCTTGTTCAGCCACAACCGCTCGCTGCCGCCGTCGCGGTAATTGAGACGCAACGGCCAATTCCACCCCAACAACCCGTCGTTATCGACCCGCCACCCCCGTATCAACAGGCCATCCAGCTCGAGAATCCGGCGCCGGTGGGTTTATTGTCGAAGCCGGGCTGAACTTGCCACAATCAGTGGATCTTCTATTTTATCGGGGGTAGCAGGGATAAACTAATTTTTTCGCAGTAATCATGTAAGCTTCTAACAAAATATAAATCATTTTAGAGCATTTTACACAGTGTTTAAATCTAAAAAGCTCATAAAAATTTCGAAAACGTTTGACTTTTTAGTCAAAATTGTATGAAAAACGACAAAAAGGTCAACTTTTTTTGTGACGTTCTAGCAAACAAAAACTGCGAAAACCTTATAAAAATACACTTTTTTAACAAGTAGTCGGGAAACAAAAATTAGTTACCCCCTGCAAACAGTCCAGTACCGTAGTACCATATTTTCCGCGGGATGTTGTAGCGAACTTTTCCTATGATCCCATGGGGTCGGCTAATGAGATCAAGGTTTTTTTTTGACAGTACTGTAGGCGGTTTTAGGCCTTCAAAAATGTCGGGTTTTTGGACGAAAGAAAAACGGAAAAAATGAAATTTAAAAAACTGAGAAAAAGTGTTTTAATAATTTTGAGTTATAGGAAATCTAACAACACTAGTAAAATACCCCAAACTGAGAAATTTTTGAAGTCCAAAAAATAGTGCCTGCCTAGAAACTACCGTGTTTCAGAACAACATTGCCCCACCGGCGCCCTCCTACAATCAACCGGCACCGGGCTACACGCCGCGGCCCGAGCCCCTCCAGTGCCACGACCCACAGTGGCTACACCATAATGGCCTTCCGCCGGATTACTATTCAAATCCAAGCCAACCCGCACAACTGGCCACTCGTGCCGACGTTCAGGTACAAGAGTGACTCTATAGAAAAAAAATTGAGCTTGTGATTTTGGGAGCATAACACACGGAAGGCGAAATCAAATAAAAAAATGCATTAATTATACCACTGGTTTATAGCGGACCGGGCTATTTGGCCAATTAGGCGACCAATACCCAATGATCATCGACGAAGAGATGATTCCCGGCGCTGCCCCGGTTGCCATGTTCCCCCCACGGCCAACCATGCACTCACTGAATACAGCATCCCCCTCAACCTCCCAGATGCTCGAGATGGTAACAAAGCCTCCTAAATCCAACCGTTTTCCATCTAGGCGCCATCCAGCTCCATCGCTACACTGGCCAGCCGCCAACCCCAAAAGCCGTTATACCCACGGCAGTCCGAGTCGACTTCCATCAGCGTCCGCGTCATGAGCGCCCCGGCGATGCGCAGCACCAAGGCCGCTCTCGCCCCGCCCATGCCCGAGATCAAAGAATGAAAAAATGGCAAATCAATGTTTTATCTGATGTACTTTCCCGGCTTGATTCACCAGATGATTTGAAAGTGCCAACAATAAAAGCAGCAACAATTCAGAAAAAATCGTCCATTTCCTACACTAAAAATAATTGAAAAACACAGTAAGAAGCACAATCATAAATGTGGACGGTTTTTCTTTGCAAGTATCTGACAACAAAATGTAAGGGGCTGTTTAACCGTATATTTTCCAAACCAAAACAAATCCTGGTAATAATAATGCCACGGTTATGACTGAAAGAGGTCGTCCTAGCGATACCAACGGCTGATGATTATAAGAAGTTCCTTTCTCGTTGCTTGAAAAAACAAAGGCGATTTCTCTTGGCTACTGTGTAGGAATGGTATCTCGGAGGGCAAATCAATTGGTATCATACGAACCGCAAAATGCCACTCTAGTACAATCCTTGAGTTTTCGATAGTTCACAGAGACATGGATGCCGGCATCCTGCCGGGTGGCAGCCGGGAAATCGCCGCGTTCTTGCCGGGTGGCAGCCGGCGGCTGCCATCTGGCAGAAACCCGGCTGCCATCCGGCGAAAAGCCGGCAGCCGGGTTTCTGCCGGCACATGCCGGCTCTTCACGAATCGCATTTGCCAGGTTCTTGCCTGCATCCTGCCGGTTATCCGCCGGCCATTTGCCGTGCTTCTGCCAATATAATGCTTCCGCTTCCGCTTCGCGATTGCAACGTAGGCGACGCCTGTAATCTTGTGCCAATATACTAGTGCTTTATCTGTCTTTAATTTCGTTTATCACTTACTTTTCGAAGCACGAGACTTGGCAGTAGACGTTCGCAGCAACAGCGAACTGTAAACTTGCATTAGTTTAACCGTTTTCAGCGTTAATGAGTTTTTAAACTTAACTTAATAGTAAACACACTTTTAAAACCACGGTGCTGGGATACGAGAAGCCGGCGCAGGTTTCTCACTACAGGGTTTATCTAGAAACAAACGGTTAGATTTTACTAAACTTCTCTTGTTTCCTGAAGCTACTTCGTCACATTGGTGAAGCATATCGTGTAACGTGTAGGCTGGTTCATTATAGCCCAAAACTTCCTAAAAAGGCTAATGAAACTGAAATACCTGGCTCGTCTGCAGTTCCTTTTAACTTGACATACAGGCACATTGAACCCAGGAAGACGGCGGCAGATATTGAATCGAAATAAACTTTATCTGAAAACTTCCATTAATTTGGCGAGAAATCAAAGGTGTTGCCATATATCAAATCTAAAAAAAACTCTAGTACCAATTCACAGACTGCGTTCTAAAAACATCAAACGTTTTTATAAGCTGTATACTTACCTCTTGTTGAAGAACTTTAAAAATCCAAATTTATGAAAGAAGAAACTGAACGCGCAAAGAAAATAGGGAAAAGCCGAGAAATTCGAAAGTTGGGGTAGGGCTACGAATAAATACATGTTTACACCGGCAAGAATCCGGCAGTATCCCGGCAGCCGGCAGGATTCCGGCAGACCCGGCAGCGGGCCGGCAAGAACCCGGCCGCCGGCTTTTTGCCAGGCCGAGCAGCCGGCAGCCGGGATTCTGCCAGATGTCCCGGCAAAAATCCGGCAGAAAACCGGCAAGATCCCGGCTGCTAGCCGGCAGAGCCATTTTTCCCGGCTGCCATCCGGCAGAAACCCGGCAGCCATTTCACTGTGTTTTACTTCATATTTTTTACTTAACACTCTTCTTTTTCATCTTTCTTTTACTTTTAATTTTTCCTGGTGCTACACCGGGCTACTATGCACAGTTTCCTTCCGTGACCAGCGTCGTAGCTCATCGCCATTTTTCGCTGTTTTATTTTCTTTCCATTTTTCGACATCTTTTTCCTTTTTGGATGCACTTTCCACCTTTTTTTTATACATTTCTCGTTTTTTTTAGCATGACTGACGACGAAGACGAATGCCGACAGCACTCGGCGCAGGACGAGCCGTGGTCCCACTACAAGTGCGTCGACACCTTCCCCGAGGAGATGGAGTGGCTGAAGACTCAACTAAAGAAAACAGTCCCGGATGAGGTTGACCTCTGCTTCCTTTTTAATCACTGCCTTCAGGTCCAAGACATCCTTCCCTCGTTGGCGCTTGACTTCTCGCATCTGAAACTGCACACCATTCCCGACGAGACCCACAAGAGAGCGGAGAACACGGAAATGGTTGGAGTTTTATATCCCTGCTGATTTGCGTTTTAGAGCGGCACCTACGGTGAAAAGTTAGTCGGCTTTTCGGCTGGCTACCCGGACCCGGAGGAGTCGAAAAGCGCAGAAGCTGCCGGGCAACTGGTCGAAAAATTTGCGAGGTATTTTGATTTTTTAATTGTACCTTCGAATTTAGCCAATTCTTCTCACTTCCTCAACACGACGCGGAGCGGCGTAAAGTATTCCGTGGCATCCAGGTATCGCAGTCTAGCCTTGTTGAGAAATCACTTATCACTTATATATAAATTGCTAATGTCCGTGCGCCCGACCGTCCGTCCGTACGGATCGCTGCGGGACCCCCAGGACCGGTTCGGACGGGTCCGGGAGCCGGGGCGTTTCGGGATTTCGGGATTTTGGTGTATGGGATGTTGATTTATTACTATTTATTATTACTTTTTCCCCCCGGGAGGGCCAGCGCTGAACCCCCGCGGAGCGGGGGGTCAGCGCTGGTCTTCTTTAGAAATCTGCTGCCGAGTTGACTGACAGTTCGAACGGAGCCCCAGGACCGGACGAACATTTCGAGTTGGCCGTTGGAGCACACGAATATAGGGTCCGTGGTTGTCGCTTCACAATTTCTTGCTTTAGATTCTGGTGGGTCGCGGCGGCGAGGCAACGTATCTGGCAGCCAATGCGGTGGGCACCTCGCTGATTCTGGACAATCGGTCTTTACCGAAGGTGGAGGATTGTGTGAAAAGAACCGTTCTACATGCCGAAATTCAACGCCGCTATCAAATCAAGGTATACACTTCTTTTCCATCAACCATTAAATTCTAGTTCGGTCCCAACAGCGGTCCCCCCTACACAATGGCTCATTTTGCGCACCCGGAGGCCGCCGGCGAATATTCACGAAGACAGGAGCCATTCTCCACATACAAGTGTCCGCCGGAACTCTTGCCGGGCCACGAGCAGACACCCGAAATCGAGACCGAACTTTCTCTGCATTTGCGCTGGCCCCGAATCGAGATGGAAGACACCTGCACCGTGGATGTATAATTTAGCGCACCATTCGTTGTATCCCTGCTTTTAGCTAAAGGACGCGAAGTTCTCCTACTACGCATGTGACCTGCTGCAGGTGGCAAATGTGACGGCAAACCCTCGCCGCAGATTGATCGGAGAAACCAGGGTATGCAATAGGATTTCCGCTTCACCGACACACATTTCCTTGCCATCGGTGTCGGCGAAATCATCGGAAGTTGCGGACCACATCATTTGCTTTCTCTTTCAGATCAAAGTTTCCGGTCTCCCAAAGACCATCAGAAACAGGAAGGAGCTCTGCACGTGGGTGAAGTCGATCTTGGATTATGGCGGGATCGAGTTCGACGAAGTGTCCGCGAATTGCAAGCCAGTACAATGCCTAACGTAAATCCCATGTCTTTATTTTACATTTCCGTTTAGCGTTCCCGGCACGAAGGAACGCATCGAGAGACTGTTGACCAGGGTCATTTTGGGCCACGCCATTGAGCTGGGCTTTTGGACTGACGCTGTCCCGTTGGACCCAATGTCTTACTTCGAGGTACTATTTTTGGTTTTCCGGAATTTTTGTTTCAGTATGCCATGGCCGAATCCTTTCCCTGGTCGTATCGATGGAGCTCCAGCGCTCATTTCAATGAAGTGCAGGTATGCAGTTCTCCTTATACACAAAAGGCTCTCTAGGTGATTTTCGACAAAAACAACAAGCTGGACACACAAGAATTTCTTGCTCAAATGGTCGTCAACGATGTCTGGCTGCGGTTCCCGCCTGCGCTAAATGGACGTGCCCCTCTCGAACATTTTGCCCAGTACACGACAGGATTATGGGTGCCGTCCGAGCTCAGACGGTTGCTCCAGCCGGAATTGGAAGCGTTCAATCAGAGGTATTTATTAATCTTAATCATCGAGCCGTATGTGTTTCTAGGCCATCGGAACATCGAGGCTACTGGCTTAGGGTGTCGGACTCTACCGACCTTGCTCACCTTCGGATGGATCTCATCAAAGTCTCCGGCTGGCCGTTGGCGTACGTGTCTTGCTTGATGCGTTTAAAGGGCTGCGGACGGCATGTGTCGATCCCCCCCCCCATCAACAAATTGGCAAGTAGCCAACAGGGCAGAGAGCGCGCCCTGGGGAGAGGCGCAGAGACATTTTCTTTCAAGCGCGTAACCGATTGACTATGCCGTCGGCATCCCTTTAATCTTTTTTTTTGTTTAGGAATGTGGAAGCAGCACATGATCAACTCGTCGCATTGTTCGCCCCAACCAGTTACAGCGTACGCGAAGCTGACCAAGATTGGCTGCTGCATGGGTTTGGCAATATTTGATTTGATATCCTTTGTTTAGGTTTGGCGCGACCCTTCTACAACAGAAACTGGACCGTTTCCGCGAAGAAAGCAACGCCAGATTCCTCATTGATGTCGACGCGACGCGCATGGAGTTCAATATTTTTGCCGGAGAAGCAGCAACCGTGCAGATAGTGGCTCTTATTGAGGCGTCCGTAGTCGATAGGTACTACTACTCGCCGTTTTATTTCATTTGATTTAGGGATCTTGTCGCCATCACTGCAACCTTTGCCCTCGGCCAGAAGCCATACTTTGATGATTTCTACGAGCTGGTTCGATGCTACGAAGGCTACAAGCAAAGTATGCGCAATTTTGAGCGTCAAAATTTTCTTATCTCAGGCGACGGACATCGCACCGCCGAATCGTTGCCGTTTTATGCGAGCACTGCGCCACAGACACTGGAATTTCACGGCACCTGGCAGCAATATCGAATGGCGGTGGCCTCACTGGCCAAACTTCGTGACGTGGTAACTTTTATTTGCTATCCCGACTGTGTTCTAGGCTCTCGAGTATTTCAAGCAATGCTGTGATGGTTTGCCGTCTCCACCGCCCTCCGCCGCCGTGTGTCCGATCTGCCTGCACCCTACTCGGAGCGACTGCTACAAGTTGAAGGGATGTGGGCATGTGTTCTGCCGGATTTGTCTCAATCGACACGTATGATGTTTGTGTCTATCTTATCCGGTCTCCTTCTCAGGTGCTCACCTGCGAGACCAGCCGCGAGAAGGTTCCTTTTGCTTGTGCGGCATGCGAAGAGCCCTTCCGCTCCGTCGATATCCAGGTACAGATCCCATGGAAATCGTTTTATTATTTTAAGCGCTTATTGCTCGGCTACAACTTGGGATACGGCGAGGGATTTCATGCGTGGTGGCTGGATGCGGAGAAGCTGCGGAACTTTACGAATGCGCGCCTCAACAACTTGCGGACGCTGGCCGACCGCCCCTTCTTTTGCTGCCTGACGCCAGATTGTGACGGAATGTTTGAGGTACGAAATAATGTTTGATAAAATAGATTTGTTTAGCCATCGCAATGGTCGTCTACCGTTTTCGTATGCGGAAAGTGCCGTCGCCGACACTGTCGCACTTGTGGGCTCGACGATCACGGCACAACGAGCTGTCAACAAGAAAATGCGTTGCGCAGTGAGTGGCTTTATCCGCTTACCAACATTACAATCTAGATGACGCTTCATTCTCGCTACTTGCCTACCAGGAAAAATGTGGCCTAGACATGGTTCGCGAATGCCCAAGAAGAGGTTGCCAAGCAATCATTGAGAAGATCGTCGGCTGCCATCATATGCACTGCCCAGAATGCTCGATCCACTTCTGTTGGATGTGCTATTACATGGTGAGCGGATTTCCGGTGGTTTTTATTTCGATCTCAGGATGACAAGTTCGCGGAGATCTACAAACACTTGTCCGACGTTCACTCGAAGTGGACAGATAGACCGTTCGTTTTCGCAGAGGACGGCCGGCTTTTGGGTAAGGCTGACGCTCTATCATCTAAATCCTTTTCCAGAACACCCGCCCGACGATGAACGCGAATGGCACGCCGCGATGGAAGCAGTCTGGGGCATCTGATCGGACGCCCCTCGAAATAATAAAATGAAAAATGCATTGATATTAGCATTATTATTGGTTCGCTTGTTTTGTTTTAATTGCATGGGTATTGATATTGTTGTTGTTACTGGATAAATCGTTGCTTGGGTCTACAAGGGTTTTACTAACAGGCTACGAATCAGCTTTCCGTATTTGATTGCGAATCAGCGCCCAAAGACTGCTCTCGGGATGGCGAAGAATGAGCCCGGCACCACGGAACCCATCCATCCGCCGTTATTCTGGTTCTGAAAGGGTTGGAGGTGAAGTGGTGACCTAGAGTTTGAGGTACTGGACTATTAGCGGGAGGGGGGAGCTAATGTAGAACTGTTTGCCCGTTTTTGGTCATTTTTATAACCCTTTATCCCAAGAAATGCTCAATTTTTATAGGTTTTTATGAGCTTTTTATATCTAAAAACCGTGTAAAATGGTATTGTATTTGTCTATGACCGTGCAGGATTACTGGGAAAAGTAGTTTCCCCCTGCTAACAGTCCAGTACCGAGCTTTAAACTCACCGCTGGGCGGACCTCAGGTCCGGATTCTCGGTAGTTGTTATAATTGTTATTCTGGAAATGGAAACGCGCTAGTCGGGGTCCTCATACGGCTTACCTGGTAATATGCCATAGATGTGAGCACCATCATCGCAACGATCATCAACTTTTTCAAGATTGCCATGTCGAAGCGTGAAGAATGACTGATTCCGCAGCATCTACTCGAGCATTATATCCCACTTCGACAACCTCTCGACAAATAGCCCCACAATAACGACAATGCTGCGCCGCCTCAATAACGATATTTGCTAAAAACCTTTCGCCACGTGAAGACCCCTACAACAATCAACGATGTTTTTTGACTTGTGTACGTTGCGTACGTAGAATAGCTGGTCGTGAATTATGGCGGTCGGAAAAGAAAGGAGCAGACGCTTTTTGGTCGCTAAAAAATTGGACTCGCCGTCTGCCATTTGATCTGATCGCCAGCGTAATTAATTTTCGGGATGGACTGGGAAGGGGAGAATGAATTAGGGGCGTTGGGGGGCGGCCGACTACAACGTTCGCTGTTTTTCTGGTAATGGGCGTGGCCCTTGAGCACTAATGGAATTCTTTAAGGTTTTGAATGCTTGATCGGGCCACCATGTCTGTCGGCTCGCACGGGTTCCTGGCGCGTTCCATGGATGTTGACAATAGCGGGGTGGGATCGCCTGGAGGCGTCTCAAACAAAGCCGAAAACGGGAAATCGTGTGATTGACCGCCGCCCACCCGCCATTACGCAAACATTCGCCAAGACTAAGTTGTTTTGGAATTTGGATGCGGATTTTGAGGTTTTTGTAGGCTCCTCGGTGCTGGACTGTTAGTAGGGACAGCCTATTTTTTTCCGGCTCTACCTATCTGTTCGCCTTCAATAGTATAATTTTATGATGCTTTTGTAGTTGTTTTTTATAGTTTTAACTTTTTAAGGTTCCTCGTTCGGGTTGATTGGCTAAATGAATACAAACGGCGACCAAATTTCTTTGCGCCACGTAAAAGCCCGCATTCTAACCTGCAGCTGTTTGTGATGCGTCGCCTGATCTTTCGACCGTCCACAATGTCATTGTACGCTTTTTTCTCCGGCACCCAGCCACTCTCTCAACCCGGGATGGCCTTGGGAAAATCGACAGGATCTCTTCCTCCCGAAACGATCACCGCGAAAGGGCAGTGAGGGGAGCCGGGAATCGCCTGTTTTCCGGCCCGCAGCCATACTCTCCTTTTATTTTGTCGCGATGATGATGGGGTCTTGACGGGGGAAGACGCACTCTTTGACCGGTCTCTTTTGAGGTTTCGGATTGAGCATTCCTGTTTTACTAAAAATCGTAATTAGCGTCATCTATACGCCGGTTATCATTTTTTTATATTGTTGACATAAAAAACACGAAATTTTGCCGTACCTTTTATGGTTGTTTAGAAATTTTATTTCATTTTTTTTTGAAGTTTAGGTCTGAGAACATGCTAAAAAATAGTTTGCTTTCACCAACGAGGCGTAAGGGACTCTGGAGATAAAGTTTTAAGTTTACGCATTTTTGTGGTTTTTCGTAATCTTATCTTACTATATATAAAAAAATAGTGTCTGTGTGTGTGTGCCACTTTGCATCCACTTCCGTATCGTTGTTCCAGGCGTATCTCTATAGGGGAAGAAGTTAGAGGTGTGTTCGATATGTCATTAGGTGCGTAACGGTCTTGCGATGACTGCACACATTGCAGATCTTTTAAAATCATCCATTTTCGATATTAAATTTAAGTTTTTTAAAGCCCTCTTCGCTAGGAAAAATTAGCATTGACCGGAAGTAGGAAGTCGTTTATAAAAGGGTCACAAGCGAATCATTTTCATTTTTTTGGTCATCCGAATTCAGCGCAATTATGCAAAGCGTAAAACATCATGCGGTCCAAGACGGGGCCAGGGTTGAAAAGTCGCGAAGCGGCTTTTCAACCCTGGTTACTCTTAAAAGCATAATCTTGGGATTTAATTCTAGGTATTTTCCTGAATTTTCTATCACTTTATCACCCAAGGTTTTGCAGATTTCCAAGAAATGCGCCCGTCGTTTCCCGGAATTTAAATGGGCATACCTACCTAGGCGGGGGCGCTGACTCGCCGAATTCGGCCTTGGCTCCTCGGGCAAATCTCTTCGATTCTCCCCCCAAAATCGTCCATCGACAACAATACCTCCTCGTCGCGTACCCGCGTGTTGATATTTTCGCAGGAAAACTTTTTTGGTCAAACCGAACCCCCGTGTCGGCTCCATATTTGGCGTATCGCACCTCAGCGGCCCCATTACGCAGATGAGCCAATAAAAATTTGGGGTCGAAAACAAGGGCGGGCAAGTTGTTTAGCGTTCGCTTGTTTCATCAAAGGAACGCTTTATTATTTATGCTCGCTGCTTGCCTACAGATTAGATTTTGAAATTCTTACGATGTTTTGCATTCATTCCTTGTGCTTGTTAGCTAGAAAAGGGAAAAAGTTTTAAAGACTAGATCTAGACAATTCTTGTATTTTCGTCAGGTTCCGCTACTTTCCAGGTTCTTTCTGTTTTTTCGATGCTTTCGCAATATCGGGGGGGGCGAATTTTTCCTATAAGCCCAGGAACGTCTAGTAATAGTAACTATTTTAATAGTATTTTTAGTAAATGTGCTGTATTTACAGTGGCAAAGGTACAAAACTTGATTCAATTTCAATTCGAATTTTGGTCGAAAAATCGCGATTTGTGTAATTTTTTAACTATATTAGTGAAGTTTAGCAAATAAAGATGAATCCATAACAAACAAAAAAAACATTTAGAAACATTTTCTTTATCTAATATTAGAAACATGGGAGCCTTAGAAAAGGTTGCTTCCCGCGCGATGAATACGCTTTCCCTTTAAATAACTCCTGTTATCACGTGGCATCTGATCACCGCCTAAATCCATTCGACCGTACAGATTATCCCGCCTATCCTCCCGGCGCATTTTTCTCGGAAACTCGGGAACCGAGGCGAAAAGTGTGTTTCGCGAGTGGCTGCCGAGGGTACGTCACGCTCTGGAGCGCGCTCCTTTTGGGCGGACGACCTGTTTTCGCGCAGCACCAATTATTATCTCGACCCTCTTCCCAACATTTTTCGACCAATACCCTATTGTTACGAGTTTCATGGAACTTATATTACAATACATTAAAACCCCCAATCGTCAAGGTATTTTGTTTCGAGTTTTGGCTAGTAACCAGGTCCTCTTCTATTTCATCGTGAAGTATGAATCGTCAATTTTACCATTTTTAGAACCACCTATGTAGTGCCGAACAAAATGAGCGCCAACACTGCACTGACTGTTTTACAACCTCAGCGCCGAGGCACGCCTCGACTATTTTGAGTTACGGGCTTGCGTTATGGGGATCAGAAATGCCTAGTGACATA